AATCAATCGGTTCATGATCTCAATCAAAAACTTAACAATCTCCACAACCCCTAAACTGGTAAAAAAAAATACTATTAAATTTTGCAGTGAAGCATATTTTCTTTCATATTTCATTTTGTTTTATCTAATAACACATTCAAAACACGTTTGAAACCATTTCGAGACCAGTTTGTTTTGTGTTCTTTTTTTTCTTTTCTTTTTTCAGGTCAAATCAGAGAAAACACACAAATTTGGTTACTTCTTTACATCTTTTGTATATAAATCTTTTTTGTATAAATCGTAAGGGTCTATTGATCAATAATTTCAATTAAAATATCATAATGAAATGTTATGTAAGAAGAAGTGAATACTACAATGAACACCTTACTCTACAGTTATAATAGAAATAATGATGTGACTAATTGAAGCATTAACAAATATAGACCAATTTTTTGTAAATTTACAAACATGTAATTCAGTATGCTTATTACAGTTTTGCAGTTTTCAGTTTTTTTTTAATAAATTTCAATGGTTGAATTTATGAATCAATTAAAGCTAGATCACCATGGAGAACCTGAAAGCAATGGACGGCCGTTTAGTTCTATTTTGGGGTTCCTCAGCAGTGCGCATCCACGATCACACCTTGCGAGATTCCAACCCAAGACCTATCAACCTCATGCGCAAACGATTATCCCCTAGACCACTGAACCGGCATCCAATAGTGATAATGTCTAACTTCAACCAATCCAGGAATTTGCGCTACCGTCCATCATTTTCTTCAGTGAGTTACTACCTCACAATAGACCCAGCTGAACTCCACTGATCACTGTTTTTCACTAGAACTCCAGGAAATACCTCGTAAAGACCAATAGGTCCTCGCTTCGGATCTCGCGAGGCGGGATCGTGAATGCGCACTGCTGAGAAGTCCCACAATAGGATGAAACAGCCGTCCAGTGTTTTCAGGTTCTCCATGGTGGTCCGGCTTCAATTGACTCATGAACTTAACTATTAAGATTACTATAATATCCACAAAAACCCTTATCTGATTTTTTATAAATGTTCCTTTGTAAATTAATCGTACTATCTAGTTCATGAATTGTTTGAGGACAATGAATGTAGTTATATTTATATTCTAATAAAGTTTATTTGAATGGAACTATTTAAATTAGGTGTAAAACTAGGTATGTCTTTCTGTAGCTGTTCAATTAGCAGACATACGATATTATATTGTCTTTAATAAAACTTTCAACTTAACCACTTTTCCGTCTAACTTGAATTATATATATATATATATATATATATATATATATATATATATATATATATATATATAATTATCTTATTTGCTTTCATCATTCCTATTTCTCTATTGAATTATTCACAATTACTTGGAAAAATAATACTGTTATCTAATCTCATACATATAGTTCCCTTTATTATTTTAAATAGAGCAAGAACGAGAATTAGTGCAGAATAATATGAATTCATTTTATTTCGTTAGATTCTCATCAGCTGCTTACAACCTAAAATAAAATATCTAATTGAAGTATCATTGATTTGTAAAATATATAGATTTGGTTGAATAGGAATGCAAATGAAAAACCTATGTACAACTGAGGCTATTGCTATCTACCAGTTTACGCCAAACCTTTACGTATAAGAACAGTATGTTTAATCCCTCGTTCTTCCATGATCCTAACCTCCCTCTTTATCTTCCATAACCTATCGTTTCTACTTATCGTTCCTAATCCATTCCAGCTATTTTCATAACAATTAAATAGCAAGTATCATAGCTTTCATTTATTCTGTTCTTAATAGCTATCAAGTGGACAATTATTTCACCTTATCACTTTTTCACTAGCCGATCATCACATCATTTTCCTTTCAATATCTGATTTTCAGATCTTGACAACGTACCTCCTCAAGTTAAAAAAAAAGTTAATTAGCACCTCTTTATAGAACGCTATCTTAGCAAAATTGACTATAAATACAACTGTATAACTTAAGTAAATGAAATTTTCTTCGCTGAATTACCTCCCTTCTTCTTCTGCAATGACACAATGGATCTCTTTCGTTATTTATACAGGTCTGTGTTGGGCGATGAATCAAAATGCTAACTGAATTCAGCTCATCTTCTGCTAAGTGCTTACATAGGAAACTTTCACTGTGCTCTAAATAAAACCAATATAATCGAGTGGATTAAATGTAATATGAATTGTTTTACCAGACAACGGATTATATAACATGCATTCTGCTGCTGTAATATATTACCGCAGTGGAAATATGTACGAACTTGTTGACAGTGAAACAGTCCTTGACCGATAACTGGATAGTTCCCAGTATTACGTTTAGCTTGTCGTTTTCTATCGATTAAGTTACAATACGAACAGTAGTCTAGGTGACTCACAATAGCGTGGACAATGTTTTTTGTCAGACGGTTGGTAGTAGTCTACAAGAAACCCTCAACTAGATTTTAAGCCAAACAGGACTCATTAGCAAGGTGTACCTGGAGTCTTAAGGGTGATAATGCTCCATGAGATATATTGACCTGAGTTATACTAATTCATTGTCAGAAGCATTACCACTCAGCTATTCAATGAGTAATTGATTGCCTGTAGGTAGACTTTTCTGACAAAAATTAGTTCGCACAAAATCTAGATCTACAGTTTCCTGCCGACTAATCACTACTTAACAGCAGCTAAATAATCAACAGCAGAATCTGTCAGTAACTGTTTCAGTTAATTTCCCTAACATGCAGTACAGCAATTATTCAGTTTTTGATTGAGATCATGAATCGATTGATGTTGGACCACTATTGAACACCTGGACGGCCGTTTTGCACTATTATAGGGCACCTCAGCAGTGCACATCGATGATCCCGAATACAGGATTAGAACCCAGGACAAGCGGTCTCGCGTGCGAACGCTTAACCTCTAGACCACTGAGCCGGCCGGCATCCAACAGGGTTAATGTCTAACCTCAACCAATCCATGAAATTGAGCGATCATCTTTCATTGTATGAGGTAGATAGATGTCTCTTCCTGACATGAATTAGATCCGCTGGTCAGTTAATAGTAAGTTATTAAATTCTCAATTATAGGTGTATTAGTTCGACAGATATCAAATGTCCAACTTTAAAGTACATTAAAGCTATAATTTACTCGAATAATAAAAAAATTACGATGATGATTAAACAGAACGAAAACATGAAGTCAATCGGATATTCAGAAAATCTTCCAACAGTAAAGATATGAATTAAACTGAATGATCTAGTTTCCACAAACGCAAGGGGTTCATACTTAATCGACCCATAAGCAGAGGTTGAAAACATTAACATCATCAGCCCAATTAGATTTTAAAAATTACTAAATAAAATAATGTGGAAGAGTGAAGCACTATCTAAAGATTATTACAATAATCACAGCTTCATTGTTCAATATTTAGATCTCTATCCTTGATGCTCATGTTTCAAACTCAAAGTAGAACGGCGTGAACTGCTACGCAGCATACTCGTCCTTTGGTCGGCAGCTTCATCTCTCGTCTACGCCACAGTTGACACGAGTTGGTAAAAGGTAGTCGAGCTTTCTGAATTTGCGCCGAGATTTCACCAAACACAACTCATAAAGGGGTGATCAACACGCTTTGGCACTTCACTTTTACCATTATTTCAGTTGTTGATTTAGACCAGTACTGAAGCAATATTGTGCATTTATGAACCTTTCAGAAGCTATACTATTTCTAAGTAGTTTGTTATCTGAAGCATAATTTTCAGATGTGGATGGTAAAATGACGTTGTGAACTACTCATTAATATTTCAGTCACCGAAAAAAAAAGATTTATTTCATAATAGTACACTAGATTTTCTGACTTAAACGTTATCTAGAGTTGAGATGAAGATAGCACCACAAGTTCGTTCCAGTATTTAAATTACCAGTGATTTTAGAAATTTAAATATGGATAGTTTGATATGAAGACGTAGACTATCATTAGCTCAATACATTTTGAGCAATCTGATGGCATATGTACTTATTAAGAACACTATCATGCTAGGAACACCTTATTATGCTTATTCTCCTTCATATTACTATTGTCTAGTTGACCTTTTATTTCCCCTATAGGAAAGTTCTTAACATGTACGCGCTAATGTATTATATAATTCTAACAATCTTCGCCTTCATATTGAATTATGTAAATCTCTAATCATTCAAATAATGTGGAAAATACAAAACCCTTACTAATGCTCAATACATCTGAAATGTTTTGTTACCAGAACATATTACAAGAACTTGCTAAACTTTATTAAACTGCCAGGTTGTTTTACGAGATAGTTGGTCAACGAAATAAATATATGAGAACTGTTGGCAAACACCAAGGTTTTATGTATAAATGCTTTGACAACCTATGTATTAACGTCATATCTATGATGTTATACCATGCAAACTAAGCTGTATTACTGACCATTTCGTGATGTCGGTAGTAATCAAGCAAGTCATTTTAGAATATTAGTACATTACTATATTTCTTACTACTTATTTCAATACAAGTATTTCCTGTCTGTTCTGTTTAATAAAACGCATAACTGTGATTATTGCATATGGATAAGTAATGTGTTTGATTATCAGATTTATATGGGATTTTAATATTTAACTCATTTAAATAGAACAAATAAAATCGAAATACCTAGCTTTTGACTACTAGATGAATTAACTAAGGATTTATTTACTTTTAAATTGAGATCTAAGATTTCAATTACTTGACATTGAACTGTTAACTAAGTGATTCAAATAACAATAATAATTACCCTTCAAAGCGGTATAAGTATGTTGTACATACATATGAACTTGTTGTCACCAGGGAATATCAACGATTACAAAGAAGTTATGCATTGGCTAACGTACAGTCCAGTTTATCTGCCTATAATTTTGGAATGCAGTCATTTCATAAACTGATCTTTACAGTTAAGCAGAATGTTTAGATGTCAAAAGGCATTAAAAATTCATAAGATGATTAATTTTTCTAGAGGATTATGTCAGAAAATTTTATCAATCGAACATTATAACACACATTCTATTTGTAGGTATGATCCTATCCTATGAAGACCAAATGGTTATATTGTAATTTACATTTATCACTACTGTGTGATCAGGAAGAAGTTATGAATGAAACTCAGAATTCAAATACAATAATTTGAACAGAAAATACAATAAATGTAAGAAAGGAATTCACTTTCAGCTTATTGTACGTAGATACAAACTATGTATTAAATTTCGATTTAAGTAGAGATGCATATAAACGCTGTCCGTCTTATGTTTTGTTAACACGAAGAAATTATTAACTGATTTCAATAATTTCACGTACTTTGGTTCGCACAATATACTGATCAGACACACGAACTTCGTACGATCTTTACGATTTAGCATTAACTGTGGATTGTATAGTTAATTAACCAACATATAAAGGGTGCAGTTTCTCAATCAGCATACAAACCTGTATGAGGTCGATTTGGGTTTAGACTGTAGCATTTATTCAAACAGAAAATTATTAGTCTAAATTACAAAATAAATTCACTATACTTTGTCAATTTTTTTAGCTTAAACGTGAAACATTTATTGAACGAGACACCCAATACGTAGAAGTGAGTTAACCGTATATATGTATACTAATCATTGAAGAGTTTCAAGACGCAAGATGATAATGTAAACAGAAAACTACACATGCAATTAGTATCTACATCACAAAATCAATGAAAAAAAAACATATTTGTACAAAAAACAATATGCAACAACAAAAAATAATGTGCGTCTATAAAATATGAACAAATTCACAAGACTTTATAAAAATGAAAAGTCATTAGAGTGAAAATGATACACATACACCTATATGAATACTTCTTAAACGTGTTTAAAATTTACAATCCAAAACAGTTATATTAAGCAAAAAGTGTAAATTTTTAATAAGTACAAATATTGTTTTTAGTCACTTGATACTGTTATTCTAAAATTGAAAGTAATTGAGATGCACATGCTCGTACATTAGAACAAACTGTAGGTGTTGTTATCCAATAATTAATAATTTTACGAACTGATTCCCAGGCGGTAAATTCTTCAACATTGTTATCAATATTTACATCGTTATCAACACTTTGAGGTAAATCTTTCAAACCAATCATAGCTGATGCAAGAATACGAATACGTTGTGTTTTTAACTGCTCACCTGTTGAATTTAATCCTGAAGTTACTGATAATAAACAGGTACCGATAGATACAAATAAATGATTTACAGCTTCAGGGTGTAATTGTGTAACACCACTACAACCATGATCCAAGGCAAGTGATAGAATATTAAGACTTATTCGAATACAAACACCAGATATAAAGCGCAGTTGAGGAAATATATTTGGCTCGATAGAAAACGGTTTCGCCAAATGAACAAGTACAGACATATTATACATCAAACAGGCCAACGCAACCTAAAAATAAAAAGACGGATAAAATAGTTTGTTGTAAACAGCATCCATCGATTAATAAACACCAAAAAACAACCTAGGAATTGAATTCATGAAAATTTCGAAACAGGGAAATCATAGAACTTATTGTATACACAGAACACCAACACGACGTTCATATTTCCAAGCCACTGATAGTAACTATTATCCATGCAAAAAATACAGAACTATTCCGAGAATAATACAGGCGATACCAATGATAAAGGATGAGAGTTGTACAATATCACGAATTAATGACAATTTTAAATCTGAACTGTTGGATCCAGATTCAATGGTCTAACAGTATCGTGCTGGCGACGAAACCTTAAAGTTTCAGATTCTGTTACAATAAAAGTTGTGAATCTGTTTTATTGAGAAGAATTAAGCTAAAATGAAACATAGGCACCAAGCTAGCTAAAGTTTTTAATGGTTCTACAAATTTTAAAATTTGTGATGAGCACTAGTTTTAAATTGAACGGTTTCAATAAATTTCTGATCACAAATAATACGAAAATTATAATAAAATCTGACCTGATGTGGTTTACGCGTTACAAACTGCAATTTATTATCATTAACAAGTTCAACTAATCTCCCAGTTATTCCAACAGCAGTAATTAAAGATTTTGGTACAACGTTCGGCTTATCACTACTATTTGTTAAGGATGATGATGATGATGATGATGACGACAAAGACTGACGCTGAATTGTGTCAATAAATCTTGGACCATCTGCAGCTAAAGAGTTTACTAATAGACGTAACATCAATAAACAATTTGCACTTGACAAATCAGGATTGTTAAAACTAATTAACAATAAATAATTCCAATTTGTTGTTTCAAATATAATATCACTGGATATCGGCCAAAACACTAAACACCGTAAAATATCCAATAAGGGGAATATTGTATCTATGAAAAACAGAAATTAAGATCAATTTTAAAAACAATCTAAACATACATGATAAACCATTATAAGTTAATACTTAATAAATCATGTTGCTTTTTCACTGGAAAAAAATTATTCAAAAAATTTCGATTATGTGTGAAGATTACAAAATTACGATGAATTCAATGTATGCAATACTCATTACTATGCATTTTCGCATATTTGTAATTGCGCATTATTTTCCACTCATGATAAAGACGAATTTCTTTTTACTTAACAAATAATGAGTATACTATGCATCCTTTACAATATGCAATGGATTTCAGATATGGTATTCCATGGTTGATGATAATATGTAGGTTACTAATAATTTATCATAGATATTTTATGAATATTGCTCATATTTAGGGGGAACCAAAGAGTAAACAGTATTAATGTTGGTGTACTAGGAAGATGTGATAATGAGACTGTTTAATACTAACCATTAAAGTGAACAGGACACGTGTCAATTAGGCACAGCTACTAAGTGCTTTTTTGCTTCACGCAGAATTGTGTCAAGATTTATTAAAAGAATATTTGTAATCTGTTCAGTGATTGATCTGAAATGATTATGGAAGTCCTGACTTTTTTGGTTGAAATTCATTGTAAAACTGTTATTTTTGGTTGAAAACTGGGTGAATTAGTTTAAAATCAGTTGCTGCTATGCACATGCACGCATTTTCCTATAATCAACTAAACCTTGAAATTATCATTACTCTACACATTTCATACCTCGATCTCACTGGTTTTCTTTAGAATTCTTTGAATTGTATTCTTTTGTTCGTTACTACTGTCGATAAAATTAGTATTTTAACTTTTTAGTTCATTTGTCTTGTTGATTTTCCCTCGTTGTGATGATGTGAATGGACAAAGATCTACTAAACTAATAATAATTAATACCCTCACCAAAAAATAATTACCCAATTTTAAAATAATCACCTTGAAACAACTTCAATATACGATAGTTACTTTATTTGTGGACTTTATTGGAGCATAATGTGACGTATGAATAAGCATATGACAACAGTATATTAAACTTGATAACATACCGGGAGTCCACTTGTTTATTGCATCTAGAATATGAGTAGTAAGATGAACAGCTTCAGTTTCAGTACAATCATCAATGTTGAATTTTCTACATGCTTCTAAAAATTCATTATTTAACGGAATCGGTGATTGGACATTGAACGACTCTAGTTTAGCTGTATGTTAAGGAAGAGAATAATAAACATCGATGTCTTTTAGTTTGCTCCATTAATATTTTACCCACACATTTGTAATTAAAAGACCAAAATAGCTGGTTTCATGTAACAATTCTAAAGCTAAATATACATCAATCTAAGATTTTAAATTATACGAAATAGGTGTAGCAGTCTTCATATGTAGGATATTATCGAAAAGTGGATTTAAGAGGAAATACCAGATGTATAATAGTATTTATTAATAAACTCAATGGCGATTATATATGATTACCAAGCACACAGAATGTTCATAGAAAAATAGTTCCTTTCGTAACGAGCCTGTAGGTAATCCTGACGACTGGCTCCACCTTTGCCCCAAATAAACTAATTAGAAGCATTCACGAAGCGATAATATTAATTGATCAATTAAGACAACTGGGATTAAGCTCAAATTAAATTTAAAGGAACTTAATGACCAGACATTATTGCATGTTGCACTTTTGAACTGAAATATGGGTGGATGATATTGACCGAATACCAGAACCAAATTAGGTGAAACAGTGTTTGAACTTACAACCTGATAGTGAAAAGTTGAGTGCTTTAACTACTAAGCTACCTTTATAATTGATCAGTATGACTATTTTTAAAATTCTTTAATGGAAGTATTAGTTAAATTGGCGATCACTAACTATGCTTAATGAATAGTTGACAAACGGTCATATTACTAACCGCCATTAAAATAACTTGATTGGTTATTAACCGATCTACGATTATTTCTCTCATAAATGGTTAGCGGACAAAATCAATTATAAAGTTGTGATGGAATACCGTGAGTATAAAACGTTATAATAATAATAGTAATAATAATAATAATAATAATAATAGCATTACTAACAACTTCGGTTTTGATTGCGTATATTAGTGATAAAGTTAGTAACTTAGAATCTCATCAAAAAGTATAGCACGTTTACATTTCATTATTTGTGACATATTAAACTAACCAATAATAAACAAGTACGAATAGGTCAAACAATAAAATGTACAAGTGGAATTATATATTTTAAAGGTTAATTACATAGAAATATCAAAAATTAACCTACTCATTAAAGGACCAAGGCTGATTGATTTCATAGATATAAAGGTATCGGGTGGGAAATGAGATGTAAAAACCGATGTTCCATTTGTGGTGGACTTGGTTATCGTCGAAGAAAAGCTATTTGGGATATATCGATGTGCTCCAGTAAAGGGATCACTGTGAGAAAGATCATTGCTGACAACTGGATTAATTGGAGGTCCTGCATTTTGAATAATGAAATTAGCAACTGTATCTAGATAACCAGCAGGTAAATCATGTCTTTGAATAAAAGAATGAGCCGCAAACCAGGGATCTTCAGTACGATTGTAAGGTAGTTTAAGCCCAGGCATGCTATCATCAATATCAACCGTAAATACAAAATCGTATTCCTTAGATGAAATATAAACAATGGTATTATAAAATGGACGAAATACACATTTTGAAAATATGCATATGAACTAAGCAATGATTAATAAGTTGAGCAACAAAATAAATAGAATGAAGGTTAAGAGATATTACACAAACTTGTAAGGTTGATTGTACAGCGACATCTATCTAAACGACCTATGTTGTTTTGAGTCTCCTGCTCCAACGGTGTAGTGGTCTAATGACTAGAGTATAAAGCTTTAACAAATCTTCCGTTCGAAACCCACCCCAATTACATCCATTTGCCAAGCCCAGTAGCGTTACTAGCCCCTACACAAAATTGGTGTGGCTTAAAACGCAGTACAGAATCTGTACTTGGTAAATCACTCGTAATCTAAAAGTGTAAACTATCGACAAAATCAAGAGATATATTTAAGTGTTGTTAAATGAACTAAGTCACTGGGCATTAAAAAACCTCCTGTAGTAAACGTAGAAACTGTAGAGTTTCTCAGTTTAGGGGTGATTCTTGAAGCACATAGGCTTGATATTGAAAAAGAATTAAAAGACTCATGTGGTAACCCTTCGAAAAATATTGTTAATTAATTAACTATTGAGTTGATTGTACGAAAATCAGACTATAGAGAGCGGATAAGGTAATAATATGGACCCTAATGACAAGATAATCGAACTGATCAAAAGATATGGTAAAGTCATCAAAATAAGTAAGTGGTACTCCATCTAGAAACATACGGTTTTTAAGAACAGTTAGAGTGGATTTCAGGATTTAGGCTTCGAATTTGTAGGAGAATTATTATCAAAACGAATCTCAAACTTTCAACTAACTAATACTACCTGTGGGATACGAACTGGGAACATAAAACTCTTATAATTCATTAAATCTAGTCTACTTCAATCTTAAAAATAATCAAGCAAGACTTTTTTAAAATATATTGGGAATTTATATAACACATAGTGGTCAAATTAGCTAAATAAAAACAAAATAAATAAATGTATTCAAAATTTATTAAGCTAATCAATAGAATAGTTCTGGCAAATGAAGGGAATTAACTACTTCAAATCTTTTCAATAAAGCTACCGAGATTTAATTCATCGCATTGATCAAAGCGTCTTAATAAATTGTCTTTATTCTAACAAAAGTTTGATTTTAGGGAATAGACAAAAAGAAAAATAACAAAATACTGGAATCATCAAAAGATTATTAGATATTCAATGTATTTATTAGATGTGCTTACTTTTTACAATATAAGAGCATGAACGCATATAAACATTTTTTATCAAATGAACTTTGAAACATATCACATTATTGCTATAACCATCAATTATTTTGCTTTGTTACGGGTTCAATATCAAACAAAGTAGTACTTAAATGGTCTTAACACAAATTATGATTGAAGTTTGCTCTATAACGAAGTAAAAATTAGTAATTGAACAAATAATGTAACGACGTACCATCGTGTTTATTTGACAGGGATTCATGAGAAAAGAAAGACTTATTTTTACGAGTCAACAATAACAGAACTGAATCTTTATCAGTAACTGAAGTAATAAGATTCGACATGCAAATTTCACATAACAGTTAACAAAAACGACAAAATTAATGAAGCGCGAGAGACAATAATAGCTTACTTTGCCTTCATGAACTTGACGATTAGAAGGTTGACTTCCCACAACATCACCAACTTCAATCCACCGAGTATCATGTGAAGACCATTGATAACAAACGGAGCGGCCATTATCGTTAATGACCAAGATCTGTCCTTCCGATTTCCCTATATAATCAAAATCGATAATAATGGAAAATAAGTATTCGCAGAACAGTGATCATACCTACTACTCTTTTTAAGGATGTGGATTTTTTTATTGTTCACATTCAAGGCTGAATTTAACCAATCCCAAGTGGCATATGAGATCCTGGAACAGATACCTTATGATTACCTAATTATATTTTAGATAGAAGTTAGTAACAGAATCCAGAACGTGTTTTCTTACTTTCGTTAGTCATATCCGTCGAAGAAGTGGATGTAAATCATGACTCCGCACCCTGACTGGCAACACTATGGACTTTAAGGAGATAGATACTGGGTTCGAGTCTTTGTGTGAAGATAAACACTAGGGTGAACTTACAATCATCAGGCAGATACCAACTTGGATGAAGCACAAATCTTGGATTCTACTGCTAAGTGAGTAATTATAGCTTGAGAAAACCGATATTTATTATGGAATATTTCCATTTCAAGTGATATGAGGCAGTATTGCTTCGTGAATAAAACACTTGATATGCACCAACTGACAGATCTCAGTTTCAAACTCTTTCTACTTAAATCTGGATAGTTAGTTAGTATCACTCTCACTCATACAAAAAAGTGAGACTGAAAGACGAGTATCCGACGAATAAGTCACCTGCTTTATCTAAAAGATGCAGGATTGTATAAACGTTCAACTTATAATCATTTCTATTACTGTGTATAAAACACAGAGTTGGTTAACAGGACGCTACTAATTTACATGAGCATTTGGTTCGATAGTGAATAAATCAACAATTCCTTAGTTGTGTAATGACACGATAGGAACACATACAAGAGAATATTAGTAAATACAAATGAATTACCATGAAATACCTGGTCTCGTTAAAGCCTCAACTCCCGGTAAATTGTTCAAAACTAAATCTCCAGCTCCAGAAGAACTAGGAACTGTAATCTTAAAATTGGCTAATTCTGTCTCATAAAGTTTCAAGATATCTGAAGATGCTTGTCTTGTTGAATCACATGAAAATATCCGAATCATCGAATCACTATGAAAGAAACAGAGCATATAAATTGCCTTTAGTACACTTGATCAACTCAATAAAGTTAGATAGTCTATCCAGATAAAGGAAGCCAATCAGATAGAATTTATCTGATAGGCTTTATCTTCTGTTTGTATTAAATCATTCCTAATAACAATCAAAATTGAGAACATTTACAATAATCTGAAAGCTTGTTAACTATATCACCTATTATTTAACATTGATTCCAATTAGTAATTTGATGAAAATAAAATGAATCCACTGGTTAAACGCAATGACTGCATATTTTTATCGTTATTGTCTTTCAGGAGGATATCATGAACGAAAACTAAAACTAGTTGAAGAGTCGACTGATTGATTTACTCATGAACCGAGTACAAATTTCTGCAGTCAACTTTGAATTATATACTAGTTGTGTGAGAGCAACAAGCACTACTCAATTGCCCGAACAGAAGTAAGTAAAATGGAGTTTGGGCCTCAGACCGACAAACTGAAAACCAAATGGCTTAAGCATTACAACCAATGCATTCATTCTAAATTGAAAATTAGCAAAGAATTTTGACTTTGAATCAGTCAGTCGATTATGAACGATATAGGACTATACATAAAATATTCAATGGTCATATTGCTACAGTTCACACACACACGTCGAAACGTCATCACTATATGTGCAATTCCAGCACAAAATAGATATATAATGATTTATAACTCCATAAAATCTGTAACAATTTTTAAGTATCTTTTAAGAGCAGAACCTGTGAATTTCAATCTAGCCTAGTTAAACATATATTATCTCTATACAATTCACCCTCCAACAAATGTACTTTCAAAGGATTACAGGTAATTATTCATCCCCAATTAAAAACCATTGATAAAGTATTCGCTTTACGACTAAATGGAACCAACATCAAATTAACAGCAGCGAAGATGAGTGGAACTTGTTTTACATGTACATAATCACAGTTGACTTAGACGTTTCGTAGTTGGCTATAATTAGATGGGATTCGTGCAATATGCCTCTTTTAAACGGTTTTCTTTGTCATCAAAGAGAGGGTGTGGGTTTAAATCAATTGTAAAACGTTTAAAGTCTACATTTTATAATTTAGATGGAGGGAATTTATCAGAGTAGACTGAAAAAAACGTTAGATTAGTTGAGGAAGATTTAAGAATCCCAGTAGATTTCAAACTCGATTATACAACTTTTTACACTTAATAATTACCTGCCTCCGACAATAATATCACCATTCGGTACCATAGCTACACACCACGCAGACTGACAGGGCAACAGAATAGTTTGAAAGCAACTAAAATGTTTTTCAGGAGCCCATTCACTTGCCGAAGGTAAGAGCCAGACACGAATACTTCTATCCTCACCACAGGAAACAAATTTTGGAAAATTAGGTGAACAAGCCAATCCATAAACAAAATTTGTGTGCCCATAAAACTCTCCAATACATTTACCCGTAGTAGCATCCCAAGCTCTTATACTGGCATCATTGCTTGCTGATAAAAATCGTGAATCATCAATACGTGCCAAGGCACGTACACAGTCTTTATGTTCATTTAAAGAATTTAATAAAATTATGTCAGGCGAACTTATATCTTGATTAAGACCACGTAGGCACCATATACGTATAGTTTGATCAGCTGAACCAGAGATAACAATTAAATCATCAATATGACCGGTTATATTTACGGCCGACATAACGAGTACACACCATACTGCTGCTTCATGTCCTATACATAAGAGAATTAAGTGCCAATTTTATGACAAAATAATAGGGAGTTATTAATAAATTACCAGTATGTTGGTAAAAATTACAACGAATTGATCATCAAACAGCTGGAACAGCCATTTATAGTGGAAATTAGTTGTAATAATGTATTTTTTATTCTATATTCATACTGATAATGATAACTGTCGCAAACAATATCAACTGAGAGATCACTTCTATCATATCATGTAGACAGCAATCTAAAAATATTCTTCATGATTCCCCTATAAAAGCATGCAGATTAGTAAAACCAGCAAGATCAAATAATAGACTTTAAGTAACATTTACCATTTGATAATAAATTACCAGTCAGTTGGCACTAAAAAGAGTAAGTTTAAACAAGCTAACTGTTCAGACTACTGCAATGAAATTGCTACACTACAAAACGTAAGTGTTGAATGCTATTTTGGAGAATATATTTCTGCTTTTGACCCTATTCAAATATCTCTATTATTTGGCAAATTTATAAGATGATTAACTAATTATACTCTTATTTCTGTGAAAGTGAAAAATATACTATTTATGAAGAGTTCAACTTTTTACTTAATGAGACTCATGTGTTCGAAGTAGATCTCTCATCTTTTGTTTCTCCTTTCTCTACCGTATCCCCCAATCCTATTTTAGTGTAGTATAGCGTTTGTTTCTGGATAACCTGAAATGAAAAAGTTCCTAACAACTTTTTGTAATTGAAAAAGAAAATTATTTATTATAAATACTTGACATTTTAGAAACCGGAAATAATTATATAAACTTGCAGATAATTCTTAAACTTTTTTCAATACAAAACATGGATATGATGCTGAATTGTATGAATTTAGTCAACTTGAGAAAACAGTATTCAGAAGTTACCGATGACAACCGGTTAATAACGTTATCACATTTTTTCACCCTAATATTCCAAATTTTACAAAAAACATTTTCATTTAAAACTCACCTGTGAGAGTAGAAACACACTTTTCTTCCTTCCATATTTTGATTGATTTATCCCAAGAACCACTAATTATGGTCTTGTGATTTCCAACAGCTAAAGTACACACTGGTTGGAGAAACAAATGAGTAATGCAATAACCACTAAGAACATACCTGTATCTTTATGCCCTTCTAAAGTGAAAAGAGCTTCTGGAGACATAGAATTATACCCTCGAATTAGTTTATCATGTGATCCTGTTAGAATACGACATTCCTTATCTAAATCTTGACAACACACAGCTGATACATAATTCGTATGCCCGAGAAGAACCATATCTTCACAGCCATCGCAACCTTCTCTATCAAATAAAAAATTTATTTTTAGTTAAATTTCCAACATACTTAAAAAAACTTTGATGAATTATAACATAATTTGCGAAATTAACAACTACTACTATTAAGGCGCTCAGTAATATCCAGATAGTAAGTTGGTAAATAAAAGTGGCTACCAATACTATTTGAGACTATCCAGTTGGAAAAAGTCAGCTACTCAACTACAATGTAAAACTAGGCACATATATGCATCGGTCCAAGTTGCCAGGTTGGAAAAAGAAAAACTTAAAACTGACCAACGTTCGTATGAACCCGTACCTGCAATAACCCTTAATGGTGAACCTTCAAATATTATTGATAAATTCATGTATCGGGATAATCATATGTATGATACCGAAAATGTGATAAGACGAATTTTGTAAACCAAAAACCGGAGGAATATATGCTGATCTAGATGACCTTCTGCACTGTTAAGAAGCCAGTTTAGCAGAGAAAATATTGGTTGCACGATTAAGTTTTGTTGAGCATTTGAAGACCTTAACTTATTGAGAGGAGAATTTCTCATCACTCATTCTGTAAACTTTACTACCTGTCCTACTAGTGACAGGAATTCTGTCCAATAACGGATTTTCGTGTACCTTACAGTTGATAGACATAATAATAGTTACGAGATAGCCTGTATACATGACATCATAACTACAGTTAGTAAATGTAATAGTATTAGTTTAAATAGAAAGATGACTAACTTGGAAATATGCCATGTCCTTGCTGTTAAATCCCTTGAAGCAGAAACAATCCTGGTATCTGAAAGACAAGTGACTGCACGGACGTCGCTCTTATGACCCGAGAGAGTGCATCTCAGCTTGTAAACTTCAACCATATTTTAAGAAGTATGCAGTTACAATATTATTTTTACAGCCTCACAGGACTTCTTAATTCGAACAATCTGTCAAAATATAAATACATTCGCGAGACTGGAGCATTAATAGGCGAAATGGAGAATAAGTATTTGAAGACTAATATAGTCCACAAATGCAATACAACCAGAAAAGCTAAACTAAGTACTTCCTTATGTTACTCCTAACCTGGACAAGTGATATTACGCAACAGTTGAACTGAATGAAATATAATCCAACAAGAGTCAATTTGGCTCATTATATGATACTACTAAATTCGGCTCAAAAAAAGACAGTTCTCGCTAACTCAAATAACTTGTGATGCCACTGCTGCTCGATAATTTAATAATGATGTTTTTAAAGTGATGACTTTTCTTCCTTATCGCTAGTATCAAAGTACTCAGCAAAGTTCATTGCTAGGCTGGTTATGCATTGTGAGAGTTGAAAATAGTACTAGTCTACCGATACTGCTAGGATATCAAAACTAGCGTTTGATTAAACTACCAGATAACAAATACTTAGTACATTATATAATAAGTAAATGGTTAATTATCACGTTATAGTGACTCAATATAGTTAATGCTCACTAATAGATTTAATAGTTCCATACTTCAACCTGTTGAGACAAAATAATCTCAGACAATTTCAATCACAAAAGATAACCTATTACACCGCGCAATTAGTGATTATTTGTTTGAAGACTGAATACAAGTATGTGGATTTTAAGATCAACATGATTGGTAGGGAACGTGTAGTAGTACTTAGTTTACCAGCCAGAATGAAATACACAGTCGTACACATAATTTTGAATATATTTCAAGCCTTTTGTTGCACTTCCTTTAATCATGTATTTTTATGTCACAAATTGATCTTAGTTAAACCATTATTGGAAACTAGTAGGCACTGGACAGCTGTTTTGTCGTAATATGAAGTCCGCGGCATTGGCAGGTCTACGAGCACACCACAAAGGATCAAGTCCAGGACCTTTGATCCGGCGAGCGAACACTTTATTACCACGAGAACTGGTTTTGTGAACAATCACGTTTGAAAATGAACTCCGTGTAAGCTAACAATAAAGTTGATATCCCAAAAACTTCAGAAAATGTAAGTTGACCCGGAAACAGTCATTATTGGTGTAGTCTGTTTATGAAAGAAAATGTGAGGAGTAATTTACCGAGAATGATATCCAGGATAATGCATTTCAGTGTACATTGCGAAGTTCGATTCACCAACTTTAGTTTGTGGGGATTTTGTCTTCTGTCGATACAAAACGTGATAAACCCACTTTCAGTCAGTCAGTCAGCAACAACGTAGAACTTCGTACGTACGTACATCAGTTCGAGTTGCCACACCACATTAGCACAGAGATGCACTTGTCGATTCAAATCCCGTAGTGGTAGAGGTAATAAGGGTATAAGCAGTAGTCGGGAAAATTAGTGTTTGGAGATGTTACTTAAAGAGTATAATACAGTGAAATAATTTTGGGAAGAGAAAAAGAGGAATAAGGAGATCAAAATTTGGGAGAACACAATAGAGTGTATGCACCTGCGCCATTGCAAACGATTTTGAGTCATGTCATTCAGGGTCTCTAACCATCGGTTGCTCAGTCAGTAACAACGTAGAACTTCGTACGTACGTACATCAGTTCGAGTTGCCACACCACATTAGCACAGAGATGCACTTGTCGATTCAAATCCCGTAGTGGTAGAGGTAATAAGAGTATAATCAGTAATCGGGAAGATTAGGGTTTGGAGATGTTATTTAAAGAGTATAATCCAGTGAAAGAAATTTGGAAAGAGGAAAAAAGGGACATGAAGAATTCAGAAGATTAGAATTTGGGGGAACACAGAGAGTGGATGCACCTGCGCCATTGCAAACGATTTTGAGCCATGTCATTCAGGGTCTCTAACCATCGGTTGCTGTCATCTCGCGGTCCCCAACCAGGTAGTCTACACCTACCGACATGACTCAGTTCACTTGTCAGTGACTTCATGGAATTGTGCCATGTTTTGGTTTGGCCGCCTCTAGCTTTCTTCCAACCTACTCCTATACCACTGAACATAGCACGTCGAGGCAGTCGGTCGTTGGGCATACGTAACACGTGTCCCAGCCATCTCAACTGATAAAGTTTCACTACTTCATCAATTGATTTGCCATCCTTACCTAGTACCCGTTTCCTAACAACTGTGTTACTTACTCGATGGTCCCAGGAAATACGAGCAATGCTTCGAAGACACCTATGATCAAATACTAGTAACCTACGGATATCCTCTACTCTTACCGGCCATGTTTCACTGCCATAAAGTAGGACGGAACGAACTGCTGCGCAGTAAACACGTCCTTTGGTTGATAGACGGATATCTCGCCTACGCCATAAATGACGCAAGTTGGCAAAAGCTAGTCGAGCCTTCTGTATCCGTGCTAAAATTTCGTCACACACTAAACCACAAGGGCTGATGAGACTTCCAAGATAAGTGAAGCTGTCGATACACTCAACTACTTCACTCCCTATCACTAGTTTGGGTGTCGATGTAACCCAATCCTGAAGCAACATTTTGCATTTCGAGAATGGGGAGAATCGCATCCCGAACATGCTTGCATTGTTGCTTAGAGTGGTCAGAAGACTCTGCATTTTGTCAGCGTCTTCACCAAATAAAACTATGTCATCAGCATATTCTAAGTCAACAAGTGAACCTCCTGGTAGAAGTTCAACCCCTGTAAATTTAGATGAGGAAAGTGTTATCTCTAAAAGTACGTCAATGACAAAGTTGAACAAGAATGGGGAGAGTGGACAGCCCTGACGAACACCACTTGAGGTGATCAATTCTGATGACAGTTCGCCATAAGCTCTCACTCTACCAGTTGTGTTCGAGTAGAGAGCCTTTATAAGGTTAATGTACTTCTTTGGTACTCCTTTCAGTGACAAACACTGCCATAGAACCTCACGATCAATAGAGTCGAATGCCGCCTTAAGGTCGAGAAATACTACCATTGTGAGGTGAGAGAGTAAACCAAAACGTGAGTATTTAGGAGATTTGGTAACCATAGTTCTGTATAACTCCAAGTGATCGCATACATAAGAAACATCCCTAGAAGTTCCCTTGAACTGCTAAATGAAACACTTGACGGACCATGTACATAGAAACACACAACAGACCTTACATAAATACAAAGCTATCTAAAAATCAAATGCTTTATACGTAAATTCCAAGGCACCAACAGTTGTTTGAGAGCACTGTATCAACATCCAACCCTATTCCAGTAATATACTGAGGATCATCATAGCATTACATATTTATTGAAAAGTCAATGTGTAACACAGACGGACAAAACCAAGTCCGAACGTGAGAGTCACATCGACTAACATTTTAGTAAATCTAGGCGTTTCGTCCTTAGGTTTTTGTGCAAAACCAAGTTTTTTAGCGTGTTTCAAGATATAAACAATTTCATTACCAAAAACAAGGTGAATGAATGAATCTTGAATCACAAATTAGTTACTTTATGTGTGTCTAATATAATTTTACACAAATGATCACTTTTATGGTCAATCAAATAAGTGCTACTCTCGGATTTTTAAAAGTTTACCAAGGATAAATACCCACTACAGTTACGAAAAACCTTTTTCACGGAGTCGAAATCACCATATAAGATTTTCCTAATGGATTCTGTTTTCTTGCTATCGCAGGGCGACCAAGGATAAACGCTTTGGAAGAAGAGCAAGCCTTGTGTGTACTGAACCTACAAGATGACTTATAAGACTATTTTGTAAGCTAGCGATTTCCTCACCTAGATGTCATGGGACGAGAGAAATAAGTACGCTCGGGTTTCGTCGAAGGAGTGGTGCCCGGCCCACTAAGAGAACACTTTCCCCGAAGCCCACTAGTTGATACAAATGGTGATGGAGGTGTTTACAGGAAAACGCGACGAAAACCTAGACAAACCCCGGTGATTCCAGTCGAGGCAGCACCCGGTTCAACCTCTAGCCATCCGCCATTGCTTGAAGCTTTATCAAATTACTTTGTTTGGAAATTTAAAGTTACAGCATATCTGCAAAAAGTCCTAACGTCCGAACATTTTGATAACCACGTATCCTACCTGAGTGATGAGGCAGTAAAACGAGCTACCGCCAACGGTCTTGTGGCAAGCAACGCACTTACCCAAAATCGTAAAATCCTAGATGACTGTTATTCCCTACCCGTGGACACCCAGCAAGTGACTATCCAGTTTTTATCGCGTCACCAGAAAGCAGGTAAGAATCAGATCGATTAACTTAACTCCTTGCGGCAAATTCGCGGACCATGTACAGAAATAATAGCTAGCTTACAAAACAGTCTTATGAGTCGTCTTGTCGGTTCAGTGTACTCAAGGCTTGCTTTTCTTCTTCCAAAGCGTTTATCCTTGGTCGCCCTGCAATAGGAAGAAAACGGAATCCATCAACATCTTATATGGTGATTCCCCGTTACACCTATGTAACACGCGTAATCAGCAGTCACTGAAAGGCAGGAAGGCCTAAAACCACAACACACAATGTTAACCGAGCACTTCACACGAGAGAGAGAGAACACGGGATGTAAACCATCAGTCGTTTATCTGAAAATTAAAATTCGCGGGTTATGTACAGAAGGAAGAGCTAGTATACAAAACGGTCTTATGAATCATCCTGTAAGTTCAGCGCGTGCAGAGCTAGCTCTTCTTTTTCTAAAGCATTTATTCTTGGTTGCCCTGAAATAGGAAGAAAAACAGAATCTATTAACAACTACACACCTTTTAGAATCAAATAGCCCACTAAGCATTAGAAGCAAGTGACGCTGAAATAACTCGTAACATTTTCAATACCCAACAAAGCGTCATCTTCATAGAAAATCTTCGTAAGATACTCGGTAACAAATTTCGTGGGATTCTGTCAGTTTAGGCGTACCTTATTATTTCTAAAGCCATCCGTCATCACGTCAAGGAGTAGTTGGTTAGTCGATCCTCATATGATCCTTATGAGAGAGAAATTGAAATAAATGACAACATAAAAAATTAGATGTAAAATTGAAACAGATTTAAAAAACCGGAAATGAATTCCAAAGCACCAATAATGAAAAAACAATTTAAAAAGACCGCAGTGCATAACATATGAGCATAAGTCGTGCTGGACATAATATCATCACGCTTCATGCATTCATTCATTCATCATCAGTTTCAGTTTTGAAAGGACAGAAGGCAAGACCTGTGCTAGTCCTGGCAATGACGATCTCTTAGTTAATCCACTGTTCTTTTGAAAGCTTTAATCACGCGTTGAGGTTGTAGGACTAGTGAAATGTCACTGTGCCCTAGCAAAATCATCTATCCACAAGGTCACTGAATGTTGAAAAGGTTTACCGGTCCTCATCAAGTTCATAAAAAACTATCGCTCATCAGTCAGTCTCACGTCATGCACTGGACCATGCGGTGGTGGTCGCTCTTTTGTTTGTACCTGCTCTAACGAATATATTTCTGTAATAACGTAATGTGTGTTATACGGTTCTCAAAGCAGCCATAGTACCTGGATGTGTTGACAGTGTAATCCACGATAGGTGCTAACCGCGAGGTAGCTGTTACTCACACCATTCCAGTCTAACCAGAGTAGGCCCCCCCAGTCAATCAATAAAGAGCACCTACGCTGATGATCAAAAAGGTAATGAATTTTATCCGTTTATGGTTCGATGAGAAAGTCGAGTAAGTAATTTGATTTAGACTTATGGACGTTTTTAGGGCGTCCTTGCGAATTCTCTTGTTTGGAAGTCGAGAAAAATGAGGGTGTAGCGGTAAATAAATCCTCAAAATAAATAGCTCTAAGTTTTTGAACATTGGATGCTGACCATATGTTTTAGTGGACTCATCTAGCTGAAGGCGCTCGGTCAGGCATCCGCACCAGATCACGTGTGTTAACGCCGTGCTCAACATCAACCGCAATCGCTAGCCAGATTAGATCAAAGAATTCCGATATATTGGTCATCGCCAAATATACTCTTCCGATCTCCTTGACTCTGTCTTTTGATTTCTCTGGGTGGGAACGAAATACATTAGGTGTTACTGGTAGAAGCGTTGTCAAACACTGAATACCTGTGACATCATCAAGGGCATATCATGGGCAAATTTATCGCAAAGTAATTAATGGATTGCGATCAAACCACCTCTGGGTCTTCTGTATGACAATGCAAATAGATTTAGTTTAGCCAGTCGATTACCATACATGAGCTTTACTATCTCGATAATTAGCATATTTGCGGTTCTTTGAACCTTTTCCAACGAATCGCCGTCTCCTTTTATGAAGGGGCTAGCTGCTTATTTGTGGCACTCGAGTTTGGAACAAGTGAATACTGTACACAAAGCCACAAAGGTTTTTGTATTGAAATAGATTAAAAATTCTTTGATGGTCATAGTGTTCAGAGTGTGTGCATGTGGGGTGCGTGCATAGACTGAAGTTTAGGGCAACTCCACGGTATATGTATTGCTCATATAATCTGAGCACACCTGAGCCTTAACATAACCGTCACTCACTAATGATTCAGTACTACTGTCTTCTCACAACGCTGCAAAGCTGTCTCTTCTTTTATTCCTTTGGCTCATGTATTAGTGTAGGCGTAAATGATTTGCTGTAGATTCCCAGACTAGTTTTTCTTCATAAAATCTTTTAGACTTACGGAGGGTCGATGCAAAAATATCTTGAACTACCCGATATTGAGATTTCATCTTATCAGCCACCAGTAACCTAACTCCCTCTCAAATTCCTCTATTCTTACGGAGAAGTAAAATCTCAGTTGAGATTCTTTCGAGGGACTTAGCATATCGGCGATTTTTTATTTGTGGTTTGAAATGCCTTATATGTGCCAAAGTAAACTAAAACAAGACAATGTTGCAGATGGAAACATATGCTTTCTCAGATATTAGTTTTTACATACGTTTAATCACTTTTATTCTGTGAACCAGTTATATACCGTGCGTAGGAGGATAGCTTATCAGTCGGCAGGATGAGCCGGGCAGAGTTTGGATGTGTTACAAAATATCATTCATTATGGAATCATTGAGAGTTGTAATGTTTACAAAGAACATATGCCTATGAATAAAGCTTTAGACGAGTAGGTGAGTTATACACAGGGACAACATACTTGTTGTGGTCATTGGGGACTTAGCATCGCTAACACATGGAGTCGTCTGTGCTAGAACAATTTCTTGGCAAGATACAGGAGCAATATAAGGGGATGCATCAAACAAATTATTCCATGATAGTAATC